AGGGTATAATGGTAGTTAACAGTTCTAAGCTGGATTGGAGCTTCCAAGGGAGTCATACATATTCTTATTTTGTCCAACTTAATTGAAGACTGGGGACATACCGACAAACCATTTACCATGAATAAACATATTTATTCACAAGAATTTTATTCCAGTTTTGCCATTGTGGTTTCAACAATACTTCACTGAGCTTCTACCTAAAACTCCAAAACTTCAAAGATTCAGCCAGTATTAATTTATATTGCCGATTTATTAATGTGAAGACTGGGTTACTTTGAATGTTAAAAAAGCTTATTTCAGCTGGGATCCATGCAGTCTCATACTAGATTTATTACTATCTGGGAAATGAAGTGGTTGTACAATTTGTTGCTTCATTTCCACTTCTTGCATTTGCTACAACTGACTTCCCTGGGTTTTTGTTTTATAGCTCTAGTCAGCTGAAAATAACAATACTTTATGTTTGAGCAGCAGCTTCCACTCTAATACCTTCACTTATTTTACAAAGGCACTCAGATACTTTGCCAACATGCAAAGTGCATCTACTGACTGATTTTGTTAGCCACAACCAAACAGGGCTCGAGTTTACCACGACACGTGATTTCAGCTGGCTGAATCCACTCTGCCTGGGAGGACAAGGTTCAAGTTAAAGCCAGTCCTTAGCCTATGCTTGCATTTCCCCACTTTGCAAGCCGCCTGGTGCATTGTCAAAGAAGGGCTGAAACTGAAACCCGAAGCACAAATTAGCGTGCTGAGCTAATATGACAACACAGACAGACTCATCAAGGCCTTAGGTCATTCCTTGTTGATTTTTATGAAAAAAACCCTGAAGCATGTAGAAATTATTTTGTCAATGTAAAATTGGTAGTAACACCAATGACTGCTGCTCTGTGTTACTCTACAAAACATACCAATGCTTTTGTATATTCCAAGTGTTGGCTGATCCAATCTAAAGTATGCAATGTTTCTAGTAACCTTTATGTTTTAAGTTGCTCTTCCTAGAAACTAATACTACTACTGAAAATTACAGACAGAAGCACTTAACCAGTATCTGTTAAATCTATTGTATATGTAAAAGGAAATTCCAGTGCATAGTAATTTCATGTATTGCAGGGTCACACTGTACTACAAACTGTGACTCATTTATTGCTATCCAGGAATATCTAAAATACATGTTTATTGTAGTACAATGGATAATACTCTTTATATAGTATAGTTTCCTTATTTCACCATCAAAGTTAAAATCAATAAAAGAAATGGATGTCAGGAAGGGAAGGATAGAAGAAAAAAGGCAGAAAGAAAATTTTGGACAAGAACATGTTGCCAAAAAGCTCTTAATATTCTGTTTTTCTAAGCACTGTGTAATAATGTCTGTAACTCACTGAGAGCTAATAAAACTATCACTGCTGAAGTTAAGCTAAGCTGTACGACTGCTTATTGTCTTTTTTCATTTTGTCTCACTGAATAGCTAATTCTCTCACAGGATTATCCTCATTTTTCATAGACTTCATTATTAATGAAAGCATTAAATGATGACATACTTTTGGATCACCTCATTTGGGGCCTGACCCCTGTCACATTAAGGCAACGGGAACATTACTATTCATATGAACAGAAGGCAGAATGAAGTCCTTATCTGGGAGGTTTCACAGAAAGCATGCCATACTCCAAAAAGAAAGATCAAACAAGCAGATCGCTAAAGGCCAAAGGTCAGTTAAGAGGTCAGCTCCCATCTCCAGGCAAAATGGTGAAAGTATTTAAAAACTGCACCACGAAAAATAAGAGAGAGATGAGCATTTAAGCTGCCAGGTATAAGAAAATACAGCATGTGTTTCTATCTTTGCAACACAAGCTATCAACATTTTTTTCTTGCTTTTTTAAGTCAATTAATAACTTAACTTGGATGCTTAATTTCTTTCTTAAGTTAGATACCTAAGATCAAGATTCCGCGGTACACAGTTCAATCTCAAACCTAGATTAATCATGAGCAAGTTTGCATTATATTGTAAGATTATTTTTCTCTACATTATACATCATTATTTGAAGCACACTTAAATTAGAAAACACTTTAGCAAAACCATTACTGTGACTGTGTGGAAGTAACACTGCTCTTAATTTTATTTCGTACCTAACTATTTTTTGTGTGCCTAGTACATAAGATTGTTTCTGTACACTTAAAATTACTTTCCAGGAAAAAACATTAAAAGCCACATCATCTATAAACAAACTTCTTAAATGATATGTTTAGCATAAATTTATATAAATTTCCATTTACAGTATTTGTTCATCTTATAAGAAAATACACTTAAAAATCTCATGAAAGATGCACTGAAATATAATTACTGAATATTTTAAACTGACTTTACCAACATTTAAAATGACAGTGTTCCTCTAAAAAAGTGAAAGAAGGTCTTTGGGAATTCCCCTGACTCTCCTCTGCAAATATCTTTTCAATAGTACAAACTTTTAAATGCTAAAAAACCTGAAGGCCACTTATTTCTCAAACGTGGATGTTTTATGCTTTTCCCTTCATCATTCATTCCATGCTATTGAAATAGGCTGAATGGGGCTTAGTACCAGTGAGTTTGAATTGCTAAACAAGAGGCAAGTCTCATCATGTGTTTTGAATATCTACAAGAACTTACAAAGAATTAGAGCTGATTATGTTTTTCTCTATTCTTGATAATGCTCCAGTTGCTTCTGAAAGATATGTCTGATTCCCCACCCTGGGAAGAGTAGATCATGAATAACTGTCTAAGAATTAGAAAATATGTGATAGCCTCACACCATGTCTCTTTTTAGAACAAATTAGCATGCTCACGTATTTTACCATTTATTTTAAAAAGCACAGGAATAGTGTTATATAATTATGTTTAGGCTTTTCAGATTTCCAGTCTGGAATATCTAATAAAGGAGAGCTCCAGCCTCCCCTGCTCTCTGTGTGTGTGTGTGCGCGCGCGATCCTTCAATTCTTCCTGGGTTCTGGTTTTGCATGTCTAACGAAGCTGAACTGACAAAGCGTGAAAGTGGTCTAAAAGGAAAAACAAAGAAAGTGACCCTGCTTTCAGTGTGCCAAGACTAATCAATATTCCAGAAGCTCAGCTTTCCCCTCTCTTCTGATGTGTTTTTTATTTTTTTTCAGAGTTGGGCTAACAGTCTCCTCCCCTTTCCTTAAGTTACAGTGATAGTAAATTGCCGTATTCCAGAGCACATGCAGATTGTCAGTTTTCTCTCTCTCCCGCTCGCTCAACTCTGCAGCTCTGTTGTATTTGCTGGGAAACCCCTACCTTATCTGCCACCACCGTGTTCCTAGAGTACTGAAGATCTGAAAAGGTGAGCCGATAGTTTCGTTTGGTGGGTTTTGAGTACAAAGTCTAATTTTTCACTCTCTGCCTTTGTATGTTACTTAATGTAATGATCCTTTCGGCTGTGCCCATGTTGTTTCTTGATCTTAAGTTATAAAGGACGGATTACCTGCATTAATCATCTTGGAAAGAAAAGGCACTGTAAACAAATATCTTTTTTTTACAAAACACTAAAATTCATTGTTCTGAAAAAAATCCTGCTTGCACACAGTAGTCGTGTCCAAGCTGGAATACGTACCAATTTGAACATCTAGCTCAGTCTCAGAATGTTTCCACTCTCTAAAGAAGCAAAGCTTATAGCAATCTGTTAAAATTCAGAGAGGATATTGCACTAAAGTGCCAATCTTGAAACATATGGTAGAAGCAGCGATCAAATCCCATCAAAATAAATCTGTTACAACATGGTATTTCCTCTAAAACATGCTGTTTGAAGTCCCTGTGTATTTATATTCTAAGTGCTTCCTAAAAAAAGGTATTTAGGCACTAGATTTATTAAAAGTAAGATGTTAGAGTTGGACTGTATACAAATGGAGAGAGATTTCAGTGGAAGCAACTAACTCTATCCATTTATTAATTTCTAGTCTTGTCATAAAAAATGCCAGTGTATTAACTAAGACTTCAGAAAATGGAATTCTCAGTCTGGAAAATTGTGCAGGCTCCATTATTAAATAAGTACATACCAAGCAGCCACAAAAAATTCATTTTAAAATGAAAATTAATGTCCTAATGAAGGATTTTTAATATTAAAACATTTTAAGGTTGATTCAGTGTGTGATTTCTTAAAATCAGACTATATCCCCATAATTGCTGTCAGGCCAAGCTAAGCATTACTTTGCAATGTGAACTTGTATTACAGTCTGAAGCAACAAGCTAAGTGGGATATAACTTCTGATGTTTTACAGATGTGCTCGGAATAGTTTATACACTTCAAAGATGAATGTTATCAACATAAAACTGTCAAAGTCATATCTTCTAAATAGTGGTTGAGGGATAAATAAACTATTCCTGCTGTGTTTTGCCATGTGAAAAGGAGGAATTCAGCCAATGCAGTCAACCATTTAAAAACATCTGAAATGCAGAATATTTTAAATATATCAGTTCAAGCAAAATATTTCTCTCCAATGGTTAATGTGAAGGTGAGCTAGAATTTTTTCTAGATAATATGGGCCTGATAAACAAATGAAAAGCAAGCCTGACAGATAGTTTTAAACATTATACACTGTACACTTCTAAGAATTGTACTAATTTTATGTTAGTATAGGTCGAGCAACTGCAAAAAAAAGTTACTCCATGTAACTTTTTTTTTACAGCATGACAGCAATTCAGATTAATTTCTGAAGACACAGGACACATATCTGATCAGTCCATATAATCCTTCTTTAACAGTCATTGAGGCTATTTATGAAAAATGGCAATCAACAACTTAGATATTACAAATCATATAAGTTTTACTGAAACATGAAGAATATTTGCTTCCATGTAAACATATGGCTAATCATTCCTCTAAAATCTTATTGCAATATTTTATATTTCTTTTCTTGCATGTTTCTCCAGTACCTCCCAAGGAAAAGAGTCTTCCATTTTTCTGAAGGGATATTGACAGAAGTTAATTGTAAAAGAAAACTTTCTGCAAGATAGATGAATAAAGGTAACGGAGAAGATCCAAAAACTGGAAGTAGGATGGAACGCATTCAACAAGGAGTCCGGAAACGTACACTTTTGGCAAAAAAAAAAGTGCAGAGCATAACAAAGGATGACGTTAAAAGTTATTTATTGAGGAATGCCTTTGTGCTCTTCACCGTTGTTGCTGTGATTCTTGGTGAGTAATTTGTTCAATAGGAATATTCTGTTCTCCAATGCATTTGACCATGATGATTTGCCTGGGCGATTTGCATTACAAATGAGATCCCAAATTCTTCTGCACTGATAAGAATGTTCTTGCTTGGAGAGTTTTGGCTTTGACAGCTGCACGTGGAAGTTTAGGGAAGAGTCATTTTAATTATTCTCGTATTCCTAAGGAGAATTTTGGTAAAAAAATTAGCTGTTTTATGGCTTCTTCTCTTAAAGAATCAGATACAATAACTGAATTGAATGTTTTTAATGAAATTTTTTCTACCAAAGCCAGCTGCAGCAAAATGCTCAGGATATAACTTTTATTTACCTAATCTATCAAAAAATAACACCTTGCAATGACAAACAGAAGTCCTCAATGAATTAAATGAAGTGACATTTCTAAGCAAAGGTATATATCAGAGCCTCAATCTTTTCCGTTTTCCCTTGATAAATGCAAAACAATTAAACCTAAGTACAAGCTTATGCTCTCTCAGTCACTCACAATCTCACACATGCATCTTTCAGATGCAATTGGGGCAACAATGGCAATGCTACTTATTCAAAGGACTGCAAGATAGCACCTGATTAAATGCCTTTTTAGAGTATATGGAGAGGAATCCAGAACATCAAACAGCTTTTAGATTTTGAATGCACCAAAATGTAAATTTAAAATTTTGCTACACATCTTGAATTTACATTAGAAAGAGAATCTTCTGAGAAAAACATACAATTTTTTAAACAAATTTTCTTTTATATAATTATGTGATCACTTTTGGTAATTTTCCTTTAACTACGGATTTTCTAAATGACACCGTATGTTTCATGAAATACCATTCTTTATAGTGTGAGCAAGAACATTATGGCTTTGCGGTACTACTTTCATTTTTATTTTCTAATTAGTTCAAAATATAAAACTATGAATCTGCTCATGAAAACCCAAATGTTAGCGCTTAAAGATAAGGGTATATATCCTACACCTATGTAGGCCCTAATGTCCTTGATCATGCTGTTCCGTATAAATCTGCTTGCCATGTTTCTACAGTTTTTTCAGGAATTAAAATTTTAGGGCTTTACCTTATTGTTGCTTGATACCACATCTGCAGGGTTATTTTAATTTAATTTCAGGTTTGATGGTCTTTTTCTAGGAGACAATTACATTAATTTGCATATTGGTAAAATAAAGTACTTTTTGTTGCTATAATAGAAAAGTCAGTCTCTCATATTTATCAACAGCATTTGATCACAAGTGCTTTTGATTCCTAAATAAGAATTTGTTCAATGCAAACCTCCCATTAATATCGGGGTAAAAAATGTAGGTATTTTATCTACAATGGTCAGGAAACGCAGAACAAATTAAGCAGGTTTTGAAACATTGTCCAACCTCAAAGAACGCAATTCCTAGATTGTCACCTGTCTATACTGCACAAGACCCACGTGCTCTTGCAATTTTTTCACTGTCATCTAGCTCCAGTGTGAATCCCATAAATTTGGCAATGTGGGAACAGAAATGTAGGCTGGAGAAGTGTTTTTACTGTTACTGCATGTTCCAGTTAGCTTTAGATGACTAGTGACAAATGTCTGCCCACAGCCACACTACCACCTACAGCAATGGCAGAGTGCCAGTAAGGCTGGAACAGAAGTTGGAGAACTAATGATAATGTGAGGCCTGGGATGAGCCGGCTGCTCCAATACTGTTCATTCTCATGAACCTATAGATATACCTGGTGTAATATGTGGAAAAATGTCTTCTCATTACTATGACAGAATATTCCAAAATTTTCTCACATTTGTTATTTGTGGTGTAGTTTTACAGTATATATATGATCAGAACAGTAAGTTCACACTTGGTAGCTCATAAAAAGGTAAGATTTGTTTTTTTGCTGTTGTGGAAATATTCAGAAGTAGGGAACAGTTGGCTAAAGAGTTTGGAAAACACTCAGTGGTTGAACTCCATCTGTCTAGTTTGGCGAGGACTAAATTGTTATAATCTCTCAGTTGTTTGGTGATCTTTGGAAAATCAATGATGGGCATGATCCCTTTCCTAGCAGACAGTAATCAACACTGTGAAATTAACCCACCAATTAGCATCACTGGCTGTCTCATCAGAGATGCTTGGATGTGAGTGTAGGTGGAAACAAAACTATACTCAGACCAGAGTTGAATCATTTACAAGAAATAATGCTTAATGCTCTCTGTAATCTAAACAGACAGATGACCAGTTTTTAGGGCTGTCAGTCCAGCAATTTTCATAAAGACTAAACTTGGGAAAAGCAAAATTTTAGCTTTAAAGAGAGCAACATTTCTTCAGAAACATTTCTTTCAGGCCTCTTTTGTCAAGGGACTGATATGAAAAAGCCTATTTAATAGAGCATTTCCAATTTCTTTCTTTGCTGAGCAGGATTGATGCTGGTAGAGGTTAAGGGGATAGGATCATATGTCTTAGCCCAGTTTCAGGACCGTAGTTTATAACAGGCACTTGAGTTTGTGTCTGTGGAAACATGCACTTTGTTACGAAGCGGGTAGCTGCAACATGCTTTTGTTTGTGTTGCATACTGATATTTTGCAGACAGAGTAGAGATATTCTGGCATTTACCCTAACTTCTGCTGTTACTCTGGTTTCGAACTGAATTCACTAGCTGCTACAATACAAAACCAACTAATATTTAAAAACCTAATGATGAAGATGCAAGAAGTTATAATTCACATTGAGAATTACTTAGCACTATTCTCCATTTCCCAAAAACTTCAAGAAAGGTCCTCCTGACTTCACATTCTGCATAGGTAGGGTCTGTCTAGCACATCGTCATTATCATCGTTGTTGCTATTTTTAGTGAAATTTAAACTGCTTTCAAGCCCTTTGAGAAACTTTGAGAAAAGCATGGTCAATAAGTGAGTTATGATGCAGTTTTTCAGATTCTTCTGGTACATCTAGAAATACTAGATTAGTTTTCTGCAGTAGATCTTGGCAAGAGCCAGTAGATGAGAACAATTATGTGAGGCGAATTTGGGAAGCTGACCACTGGTAAATTCAGAGCGTCACGATGACCAGGAGCAATTTAAGGTAGGATAGGGGTCATGGTGGCTCATGGAAAGTCTGCAGGAAGTCTTACAAACTTTGAAGTGCTAGCCAAATTACTGGCAAAATCTCAGGCAGTGCCCTCTCTCCCACGCTACTTAGCTCCATCATCCTGTCCCCAAAATGCCTTCCTTTCAGAGACCCTTCCTTCAGCAGACTGTCTTGATTCTCCGCTACTTACCTCCCATTTTCCAAAAATGCCACAGGAGTCCAGACTTTACTCTGGCAGGACTCCTAAATGCCAAAGAATCTCCTGTGGATTCTGAACTTGTACTGAAGTAAAGATCGAGACACACAGAGCTGCTGAGCAGAGATCCTGAGAAGCTGTTCAGGGTGAAATAGTTTTAACTGAGGGGCTCAGTGAAGTAGAAGGAGGTTGTGGAGCAAGTACTGTAAAAAGCAGTTTCTGCATAGTTATGAAGCCATTATAGCTCCAAATCATTAGCTAAAATCCTCTTTACACTGCTGAAGTGATATGCTGCAGTTGTCCACTGGGACATTCAAGGGGCACGGAGATGGATCCAGTTCTGTTTTCTGGGTACCTGTCCACCGAAGGGAGTGCAGGACTGGCTGTGTCATTGAACCCAGTCTTCTGTAATTGTGGGCAATCTCACAATGGATGTGAAACGGAGCTAGGCCCATACAACATCTGTTCCTCAACAGCATGCACCGTATATAAGATTCCAAAACTTTCCAACATCTTTATAAAAAAAACTAGTTAAAAGTACAGGAAGAAGACAGGAGAGATGAAGGCATTGCCAATGTCATGTCCCTGAAAAAAAGTAAAGAGTTAAATAAAGCCTGCAGATGTTCCTTCATAATAGAGAAGGCAAAAGCCCCACAAAACCCCTAAAATATCTGAACAGTGAAAAGCTGTGCAGAGTAGCAGATTCTCCTATCTCAACACACTCCTCGTCTGAACAATAGTTTAAAATGAGTCCTAAGAGGTACAAGTTTGTAATTCACAGGTAGACAGAATCCTGGAAAAAGCCCACAAAAAAGACAGTCTCTTGTGTGTTGAAGTGACACCTTTTCTGCTACTGGTAGATCCTCTGTATCCACTCAAGACTGAGGCTGACATACCTAGAGAAGGGTATTTGACCCCATTACACACTGACAATGAACACGATGAGTGCCTAAGGCACTCTAAGGTAACATTTGTATGAGAACAAAGCAAAGATCCATCATTATAGGAGAAACAGCTGTGGGAGGTGAGTCCTATGTGAGATAATATGTTAAAACATAAAGAGAGAAATGTGATACCATACAAAAGATTAAGATATATACAAGAAAATCAAGACAGTTTGGGGACAGCTAAATTGAAATAAATTCTACTTACGCTGAACTCAGAAGCTGCCTCTGTCCCAATGCTCTCCTAAAGAACCTGCCCAGCACAATTGCTTTCTCACTGAGTGACAAAACCTTCCTAAGTAATATTCCAAAAAAATTGCTAAGCAAAACCTTAATTCTTTTTGAAGTTAAGAAATAGTTACAATTTTGGGAAAAAAACATAAACAGACACTGTAAGATTCAGAGTAACATTTAAAAATTCAAAGGAGATAATCCTTTTCAAAAAGGAGAAAAAGTATAGAAATACAAAGAAATACAGAAAATATAGAAATATAGAAATACAAAGAACTTTAATTCTGCTATTAAGTAGCCAGTAATAAAAGTCAGACTGCAAAATATGAACAGTACACTAGTTTAGCAGTTACTTGCAAAATAAAATTATGTAAATTTATTATCACAATCTTAATTTCTTATCATACACTCTGGTGTTACTGAAATGAAACAGCACTGGTTGTTGGACTGCCATACATGGCACAGAGTAACAACAATAAACTTGGCTACTTTGTGAATCACAATTGTGCATTCTGGAGACAGCAGCTGTGCATATATGCACAGTAAAG